AGCAGGTGGCCTCAAATGGTGTGCTTTAGGGATTGCAACACAGCCTCTTGCCAGTAGGCCACCAGAGCTTCCTTTCTTTTAAGTTGTTATTTTCGTTATGTGTCATCAAGTCTCCTGTGACTCATAGTGACCCTATGCACTACAGCCCTAAACCCTGCTCTATTCCTTGCCAATCTTATTCTCTCCAATACGCCTATCCCCATTACCTCAGTGATGAAATCAATCCATCTCATCAAGGGCTTCTTTTAAGTAGGCCTGTACAAATACGTAATTGTGCAAAATAAAGTACAATCTCTTCTTTGTTTTTTTTTTCATTAAAAAAAAAACACAAACAACCCTCCATTTTATTTTTATTCCTATTAAAGCTGGCATCTCCTGTTTAGTAAAAGATATTTGAGATTTTAATTGCTTACAAAATCATTCAAGTAATTAGATTTAGTCTCTTTCCTCAAAGTCTATCTCAGTTACTCAAAGAGTTGATTGACAATAAATTTTCCTCTTCCCTGTTTTCAAAGTCCAAAGACTAAATTTCATTCTAAAAAATGAAGCAAGGACAACCTCATTATTTCATTAAATCTAAGATGTGCATAATTCATATAACATAGGTTGTTGATGAGTCTTCTTCAATCCTGATGCCACCCTCCTCTTCATTACTGCCAAGTTTCTTGAAGTATTTGTTCACGTAAAGATCAAATGCCATTATTATAATTAGGTGTCATTGAGTCAAATACAACTCATAGCACCCCTTTGAACAACAGACCTGAACTCTAACCTATCTTCATCATTTCTCATATACCTGATTCATTTTAACAGTCAGTGTGTCAATCCATCTTGTTGAGGTTCTTCCTCTGTTTTGTTTACCCTCCACCTTTTTTAAAAATTTTTATTATTTTTGTGTGAGTGTACCGTCAAATCAGATCTGACTGGTACAGGAGGAAATTGTCCCTCCTTCCCCGGCAGAGCATCTGGTGGATTCGAACCATGCGCCTCTGGGATTGTAGTTTCAGGTCCTTGCCACTAGGACACCAGAGCTCCACTACCCTCCACCTTTCTAAGCATGATGTCTTTTCCCAAGGATTAGTCCTTCCTGACAACATCCCCATTCTTATTTTGGAATCTCATCATTCTTGTTTCTAAAAATGCGCAGCCTGGATGCACTTTTTCTGAGGCAAATGTGTTTCTTCTTTTGGGAGTCCATATTCAGTATTCACACATTTCTAATTTTAAAGTGTGCCATGTTTCCTTATTCTGTTTGAACAATTGCTATGCAAAGTTTTTGCATGAATGCAGTTAAATGTTCTAGGATTCCCTTTATTCATAATATTATCCTAATTTTTTATGCCCATAAAGTGAAACGTTGTTGCATAGCACAAGAAATATCCTATGGCATCTTTTGCTTTTAGCTCAGATACATATGATACCAGCCTTGTTCCACAGTATTCTGGCAGTCATTTTAAAATAATGCTCAGTAAGTTTTACTCGCATGTGATTTTAATGATATTGTTTGATAATTTATACGTTCTGTTGGATCAACTTTTTGGGAAAGGGAATACATAGTCAGTTGACTAGATAGTTGTATTCCAAATTTATTGGCAAACACAAGGAAGCACATCCAGAGCTACATCTGATTGTTGAAACACCTCAGTTAGCACTCCATCAATTCCTGAGAACTTTTTTATTGTTTTTTTTTTTTTTCAAATGCACTCAGTGCAGCTTAGACTTCTTACTTTAGAACCATTGGTTCTTGATAGTGTGCTATTTCTTGAAATGGTTCAGTGTCAATCAAATTTGTTTTTATTTCATATTATGACTATGTAGGTCTTCTGTCCTCTATTGATGCTTCTTGGTCATTCAATATTTTTTCCATAGAATTCTTCAGTATTTTAACTCAAGACATATATATGGATCTATATAGTTATATAGATATACATAGAGATAGAGAGATAAATTTATTTTCATATAATAATAACTTGACAGTATGTTTCATTCATAGACAATGTGTTTTATAGTCTTTCATTTACATTGTGTTCCATACATTCATATACATTCTATTTTACATTCTTTTTCTACTAGTTTATTTAAAATTTGAATATATTATTTTTCACACCAGATCCTTACTATTTCCCTCAACCCCCTACCCATCAAATCGTGTGACCCTATGATTAACCCTTCCCCGCTGTACATCCTCACCCATCTGCTTCCACCCTCCCTCCCTTGGATTCTCATGCTCATTCTAAAATAATGGTTTTATCCAGTCTTTGTACTTATGGGACTGAGTTAGTTCACTCAGCATAATGCTCTCCAGTCCCTCCTAAGTTAGGTTACTTAAAAAATCATTGCTCCTCTGTGCTGATTAGTATTCCATTGTGTGAATATACCATAATTTCTTAGTCCATTAAATCGTGATTGGACATTTGAGCTGTTTTCACGTTCTCGTGATGGTGAATAATACTGCTAAAACATTGAAATAAAAGTCCCTGTTTGATTCGGTTCTCTTTTTCTTGCAGGTATGTTCCAAGCCGTGGGATAGCTGGGTCATATGGAATTTCTTTGTTCAGCTTTTTGAGGAAGTGTCAAAATGCCTTCAAGAATGGTTGCATCATTTTATAATCCCATCAACAATTTAAGGATGATATTTTTTATGTCAATCTAAAACTCATCTGGTCATTAATGTTCAGTGCATCATGTATTTTTTTTACATGATTCAGGTAGTATAGACTCAAGGTCCTATTTTGAGTCTCAGAGGCTTGCTTTCATTTTTTCTTCATCTTTAATTTGAACTTGCACATGATTAATTGGCAGTCTGTTTCACAGTCAACCAATGGCCTTAGTTTATTAAAGAAACTGACCTTCTCTGCCATCTGTTTCCACTTATGTAGTTAATTTGGTTCCTAGAAGCCCATCAAATGATCCACATATATAATTGTATATGATTTTTAAAAATGTATTTTTAAGGGATAAATTATTTATAAAAATATATACCAGGTAATCGCCAGTGAAATTTGTAACCAAGGTCATATTTTCCAACTACTAGTCTTTCTTTGCCCCTAATTTTTGCATTTCTTTTATCAATTATTATTAATCTTGAATGAATGAATATTTTATGTGTGATCCATTTCAGATGGCAAAGTTGGGAGAAATGTTCAGTTTATTCTTTGGCTTTAATGCTTGGTGTATATATTTGAATAATGGTTTTATTCATAGGTCTTCTTTATGGAATCTAAGATCCAGGGCTACAACCTCTCCTTGAGCTTCTATGCAAGAAAAACTAGCCAAGAATCATCCCCTCTGCAGACAACTAGGCTAGACCATTTACCAGGCAGCATTTCCTCCTCAGAAGTCTGTATTCTAACATGAAGATCTCTTTCTCCTGGGTGTAGCTTTACAGTGCAAAGCTTCTGCATTTCTATTACTTTAATCTAGGAGTGGCTCATGCTCTCTGGGCTTTTATCTTCACATTTTTCAGTATCTTCTTTCTACATGTTCGATTCTCTAACAAACTCACTTATAAATGTGTAGAAATGATGGTAATCATAGAACAGAGTTCAGATCTTTTGTGCAAAGCTTCCTCTGAGTCATAGTCGACTTCACAACACTTACCCACTGCTGAATGAAAGTAGGGATGCCATATCTGGAGGAACATTGTTCCACTTTGCACATCACTCTTTGTCAATGTGCTATATAGGGTAACTGGGTTTGCTATGATGCTGAACCTTGTGCATGAGGATATCAAATACCAGAATGGTTTCCCATTGTAGATAGAGTTTGGTGGAGCTCCCCATTGTAAAATAGGTTGGGAAGCAGGAGTGGCATCCACTTCCTAAACCACATGCCTCTGGAAACTCTATGAACTTGGAGAAACAATGATAGCTATGGAAAGGCATTAAGGTCTTTTGTTCATAGAGTCCCTATGAGTAGACTTTGACTTGATGACAATCAACAACAACAACATTTTGTTAATCAAGTATCAGTTTAAATTCTCTGATGAGAGTTGCACTGCCAATGAGAAAGATGTGCCTCTTTAGTGGTTCAAATCTACCAGTAGCTACACACACACACACACACACACACACACACACACACACAAACAGAGCGATCATGCCTCATGAAGTTTATAGGCTCCAAAAACCTACCAGAGGGCCATCTGTGCATTGGATGCAACTCTGCAGCTCTCATTGAGTGAGAGAGTAAGTGTAATGCAGTGGGATTTTATTAGTATTTCCTTTGAAAACACAGATAGATACAATATAAAAAATATTAATATTAATCTAAAATGCTACTCATAACTAAAGAACCAACTATATCCACTTTGACAAAATGGAACGTGTCTAATAAAAAAAAAGGTGCTATTTGGTCCTGAGTTTATAAATCTGCAGTGTTTAAAATGTACTGGTAATTAGCACTATTTGATAATAATTAGTATAACACTTTTTTAGACAGCTCTTTCATCACTACGTTTTCATATATATTATTGTCAATAATCATTAAGTGCTTTTAAAAATAGAACTTTTCCCTCTTTGAAAATAACATACCTAAAAATTGTCACCTAAATAAAGACTTCTGAAACATTGACTAGTGAATTCTGGTGCCCTGTGGCTAAGGATCTGAACTGCTGCCAGAGAGGCCCACAGTTTGAGTGTGCTAGCTGCTCTGTAGGAGAAAGATCGGCAGTCTCCTCCTGTGCAATATATTGCTTCTGAAAACTCACTGGAGGGTCATGTATGGGTCAGTTCTGCCTCAATGCCACATAACAAAATAATAAAAACAAGACTTTGAATGGTATGTGATGATAAATGATGAATTGTACTTACGTTAAACTTTAGCTATTATTAGAGCAGAACTATTTTAAGTTGTTTACACAATTATAGGATGAGAGTTTAAATTATACAGCAAAAGGAATTATTAAGCAAATTATCTATTTTTAGAGAATTTGATATTAATTTTCTATTGGAGAGTCTTACAATATACAATTTTTGAAGTATATAATTAAGCTAACTTACCACCTGAAAGGAGAGCAGGCTTACTTTTCACCATTGGACTTGAATGTGGAAACTTGTTGCTAAATGACATGAAAAGGTGTGCAGTGAAGTCATCAGGAAGCTCAGCTTCCAGGAACGTCTTCATGAAGAGTTTGAAACCTTCAAAATCAATTGTCTGGGAAAAAAAGAAAATGAAAATTTTAAATTATACACATTAAGAAGCAGCAAAGTGAGGAGATTGTGTGCTATGTCCAAAGTCGTTAGTAATAGAAATTGTTTCAAACGAATTTTTTATCTAAGTCTACAGAAGGAAGGAAGCTCTGGTGGGCTTGTGGTAAGAAGCTGTGCTGTCATCTCAAAGGCAAACAGTTTAATCCACCAGTTGCTCCATAGGAGAAGCCTGGACAATCTCTTTCTGTGCAAATTACTGCCTCGGAAAACCAGCTGGAGGGTCAACTATGGGTGAGTTCTTACTCAATGTCACACAACTACAGAAGACTTGAGAAGTTGGCTGGCCAAGTCTAGACTAACCCTGACAATAAGTTATGTGTATTTTACCTCTGGTGTAGCAGAGAGAGCATGAATAATGTATTCATACATTTTCAACTCTATAGCATCTAAATGACCTATGAAAGTTTACTCTTTAAACTAAATTTCCTTCTTGTTACATTTGAGATCAAACCCCCACTCCCACAGAGCTGTGATGGCTGAATTGGGTAACTAATATGAACATATCAGTACAGAGTCAAGAACATAGTGAGCACTTAAAGAGCAAACACTTCCTCTCCTTGTGACTGACAGTGACTAGCATTTTAAAGATGTGGGGATTTTAAAAAAAGAAATTAAAGTTTTATCTAAACACTCAAGTTAATTGGTCAATTGGTATAAAATCCCAAAGTGAGATTCCAAAACTTCATAAAGACTTCCAGAAATCTATTTAAAGATCCATTATATCTTCACACTTTATAGGAATAGACATGATTACAGAAAATATTGCTGCTGTATTCTGTATAGCCATATCTCCTTGGAATAATTACGACTGATGCCACTTTTTTAATGTCAAGATTTCTAACAAAATTTCACAGGAGCAATCTAGAAAACATCTTCTTTTCAATCAGATGAGGATAGTGGACAGACTTAAATCCCATCAGGGAAATTAGAGGATGAAGGTGTGAGAGTTTTGGGGAGCAAAAGTGAGTTTTTTAGTTTCCTGGCCTTGACCAACACTACTATGGCTGCAGGAATGAAGATGCATGAGTGTTTGCTGAAGAAAAAAGTTGTGGACTTTGTACAGGAGAAAGTTTGTTTGTATTTTCTAGGGTCCTGACCAATGTATAATATGAAGGTAAGAGAAGTGTTTAGGAAAAGGAACTAGAATAAAACCACATCCATCTCGATTAAGAAAGAGCAAGGGGAGAATCATCTTGAAGAAACCACTCAGGTGTCTTGTATACTGATGTTAGAGTGTGAAGACAGAGCATTATGAAGCTCATTGGATCTACTTCCTATGCTTTCATGTGCAGCTTGTGTTAATCCTTCGGAGAGACAAAGCAGAAGCCCACAAGTGATCTAGGGAAGACTGTGGAGGGTCAATAAATCTGAATTGAGTCTGGGCTATTTCAAAGTCAAGACTTTGATTTATATCTTAAATTGGGCTTTTAAAATTGCTGAATTTAATTACTATTTGCTCCCCAAAGTGACTCTAAGAAATGTATTACTGAAAACTGGGTAGAAATGCCACAAGTTTGTCTGAACATTCATGCAAAGGTGGAAAAAGATTACCACTACCAAACAAAACAAATGAGTTGTGTTGCTTCTTTTATATATCTCTTTGTTCATAATACTTAGATAATTAGTACCACTGGAACTCAAATCACCCAGGGTAAAATGATAACAGATTATTGAAAAAACAAATTCAAAGAAGACAGAAAGCTAATCTCACCATCATAAATCCACAGTCCCAGAAAATTGCTGAATCAGATTATGAAATAAAAAATCCCTACACATTACCTAGTTACTAAGTAAGTGTCCCTCATCAGAGAACACATAATCATTTTATGAAATACTGGAAGAGAAGAAGTTTTATCTTGCAGTGATAGCCTCCAATTACTGGCAATGGATAAATTCACCAACTATCCTCACAGAGTCTCTGGGAATGCAGTTCAATCAGTGATATACAATAGTGACCTACAAATCTAACTCATTCAGAGCCTTAGAGTTTATCCGGTATTCACAATACATGTAGCTCTTAAATTTTGCTTCTTTAACTGTTCAAGTCTTTGAGCCATGATGGCAAGTTTTCATCTTAATCTATGTAAATCTAGCTACTACTAAACTGTAAAAGTTCATCAAACTCATTCAATAACTTTTCTTAGTTGATTTACTTACATGCAAATTTAAATTTAGTCAGTCATTTCTAGGCTGAAATATGATTCTATTAAAATCTGTCTACCTTTTGATCACTGGGCATTTAAATATATATGAACTAATTCTGGGCAGTTGATTGTTACTTAACATCCCCAAGTTGAATTGTTTCCACCCAGTTAAATTCCACAGGATCAGTTCACTATATATTATTTCCTATCAAGATAAGAAGAAACTCTGCTGGGATAATGTATAATGAACATTTTACTTTGCTAACTAAAAAGTCACTGATTTGAATTCACCAGGGAAGTATAGAAGAAAGAGTCTCGTCTCATAAAGATTTAGAGCCTCAGAAATGCATTGAAGGCTCACTAATAGTTAAAATCAAGTTGACAACACTGGGTTTAAGGATGATATATTAGAAAAAGTATGTATCTTATATTTTTAGGCGAGTTAATGGAAATTATGGAATCTAACATATACATCCGTATCTAAATAATTTCTCTCCCATAGTCATCTTGCATGTATACTTACACTCATAAAACTATAAAGAATGTTTCGTTGGCTATTGTATAAACACATAAGTTTAATTCGGTACACTAAGCAGATGTCAGCATAAAATGCAGGCATGCGCTTTGCAGTCATACTGCTCTATGGTTGAGGTTTGGCTCTCATGTCTAACTTTCTGGTGATTTTAGGTTAAATTCTGAAGCCTCACAAAGTTTCTGTTAACCTTTAATTAAAATATTATGATAATAATAATAATAATAATAATTATTAATAATAATAATAATAAAATACCTGTTTAAATTCACCAGCTGCTCCATGGGAGAAAGATGGGCAATCTCCTCCTGTGAGATTTACTGCCTCTGAAAATCAGCTGGAAGATCAGTTAGGTGTCGGTTCCAGCTCAGTGGTACACAACAACAATTGTGAGCAATAAAGTTGGTTGTACATATAAAATGTTTGCATTGTATTTGGTTCTTAACAGATGCTAACCCACACAACTAATATTTTAAAATAACATTGCTCTTGTTGTGTACCATGGAGTCAGAACTGACCCACAGTTGACTATACAAAAGGTTTTCAGAGGCAGTTAATTGCATGGAATGAGATAGACCTTTTTCTCTGATGGAGCAGCTGATGGCCTTGACCTGCGGACCTGCAGGATTGTAGTGCAGCTTCTTGCCACCGGGCCACCAGTCTCAAAATAACATTACTCATCCTAAGTATTTTTCTAGTCATAAACCTGTTTAAATAAAATGAATGAGAAAAAAAATGCTGCTCAGCCATATACAGAACAATTAGATCAGTGATTAAGAGGGGATTTTTAATTTTATCTATAAGAGGAGAAATGTTCTCACATCTATATGTTATACGTGTGTGTGTGTGTGTGTGTGTGTGTGTTTATAAATTCGTACGTTATTTATTGGTGACCTGGTCATTAAGGAGTTGCACTGCCAGCCCACACGCAGGCAGTTTGAATCCACCAGCAGCTCCACAAGAGAAAGATGGGCAAATTTCTGCTATGTTATTTAAAGTCTCTGAAAACTTGCTAGAGGAATAACTATAATAACTTATGACTCAATGGCAGTGTATTGTTTTGAGTTGTTTATTCCTCTTAGGTAAGACAAAGAGTTAACAGTATTGATCACCTTTTCTTAAAAAAACTCAATTTAATATAACTAAAATTAAATTAAAATGGAAAATAATGTAAATTGTTACATTTATGCTCTTATATCTGATAATCCCCTGACAGATGAATAAAAATATTTCCATAAAACTTTCTGGTATAGAAAAAGAAAATCTGTATTATTCATTGTTATAGTATTGGCTGTAACTAGTGGAGAATACCTAGTTTTGTTATTGTGTTATTTTTGTATAAACTTGAAGTAAAATGTGATAAAGATATTATCTGTGTATATAATTTTATGTAGCTTAGATTATGAGTCAAATAAATGTATACATTGTAAATGTTAATGTACTGAAGACAACATCAAACCAGTAAAAAAAGAAACAAATCTTTAACTTGTCATTCTAATGATAGCAAAACACTGCTTAAAACGTAATCTGTTATTTCAATATCCTTATTTGGGGGTTGGGGGTTTTTTTGCTTATTTTATGAAAGACACTTTAGAAATTTATGTTACTGCAGTAAAAAGACTTCATATTCTACCATGTATAATAAATTACTACCAAGAATATTGAAATTCTTCTAGTGGAAGGAACCATAAACTAAGAACTATGAATAACAGGGAAATGTATAGAATTGCCTCCAGTCTAAGTTTCCTTCAAAAAAAGCAATTTCCCAAAATGAATGAAACAAAGCCTTCAAAATATACAAAGACAAAAGCCAAGTGATTGAATTGAAAAAAAACCATTTTCTTAAGAGGGAGTGTTTGCACTTATTATTAGAGTTTCTTAGAGATTACTTTTGGGAAATAATTAATCTTCATTCCATTGTAAAAGTATTTCATTGTATGTGATATCAATTTTAATATATAATACTCAACATAAATGAAGACTTAAAAGAAAACAAGAGTTGATTTTATAAAATAAATGCAAGTTGGTCTAATGAATATAATTACTGCTATTACAGTCAGGATAAATGTTATTGTTGTTGTTGATTGCTCTTGAGTCAAACATGATTCATAGTGACCTTATAAACAAAAGACCTGAACCCTTTCTATAACTATTGTCCTTTCTCAAAGTTCATAGAGTTTCCAGAGGCATGTTGTCTAGAAAGTAGATGTCCCTCCTGTTTCCAAACCTGTCTTAAACTGGAGCTCCACCAAACACTCTCCACATAGG